CCAAAAAAAAAAAAAAAGTGACATTATTCTGAATCCTGGATGTCTATGGAAATATCACAGAAGACCAGGACTACCCATATTCAGATTTTTATGTTTAAATGATATAAATTTCTGTCTTGCTTAAGCCACTTCTATTAATTTCCTTTGGCTGCTATAACAAATTACAGTCATCCATCTGTATCCACAGTTTCCACACCCACTATTTCAACCAACCTTGTATCAAAAATATTGGGGAAAAAAGTTACATTGTTGCTGACGTGTACTATATAGTAGGCCTTTGATGGTGGCATCTGCACTAAATATGTATAGACCATTTTCTTGTCATTATTCCTTACACAATACAGTATAAGAAATATTTATACATCATTTATACTGTATTAGGTATTGTAAGTATTCTAAAGATAGTTTAAAGTATACTGGACAATGTGTGTTATAAAAAGAACTTGAGCATTCTTGGACTTTGGTATACATGGGGCAAAACCCATCCCTTGTGGATACCAAAGGATGACTCATCTAAAAATCACTGAATTATATGCTTTAAAATTATGATGTATGAATTATATCTCAATTTTTAAAATAACCAAACCTGTCATCCCAAAAAAGGCGCTATGCTGGCCTGTCCAAGCAAAATGGACACACTTCAAAGTATGTCCCATGAGGGAAAAATTGCTTTGCAGATAGCTATCACAGAAGTACTCAGGTGCAAGTAGCCAGAAAGTAAAACACCAAAAACAGAGTGCCTTCAACAAAATCTGCCATAATAATAAAATTAATGTGAACCAATATTTATTGAGCACTTTCTGTGTTCTAGTGAATTTTTAAATAGGGGAGACCTCAGGGAGATTGTTCATTTTTAACACAGATTTGACAAAGATGAGACCCTGGGATATTGGGGGGAAGAATACTCCAAGAAGAAGGTGCAGGGGCATAAGGGACAGAGTGCTTTTTGTATTTAAGGCATATGGGACACATAGAGGAACACGAGGCACCCAGGGAGCAGGGCCTAGTCCTCTCCTCTTTGCTGGGACTGTCACCAGTCCTACTGCCAAAGTGTCCCCATCATTTTCATTATCTGAGCATATTTCCTAGAACAATGATTGAGGGTCAAATTGTAGTGTGCATTCTGATTCTGAAGATCCAGCACAGGCCCTGAGCATGTGAATTTCTAACAGTCTCCCAGGTGATGCTGATGTTGCCAGTTCTAACACCATGCTTCCTGCAGCAAGGTGGATCTGGTTACCTACTGCTATGCAACAAGCCTTTCCAAATTTGGAGGCAGGGGCTGGGTGTGTAGCTCAGTGACACACTTTCCTAGCAGTCATTAGGACCTTGGTCCAGTCCCCTGCACCAGATTGGGAGTGGACATGCCAATTTAAAGGCATAAGCCATGACTTAGTGTCATGGTGCTGTGAGTTGACTGAACTCGGCTGGGTGGCTCTCCTGTGGGGCCTCCAGTGCAATTGCCATCAGATGCTGGCTGTGGCTACCTGACTTGGCTTACCTTGGCACTCCTAGCCTGGGATGGCTGAAGCTACTGGAGATGGTCAAGCCTAGATCTATGCCATGAAGCCTTTCCAGGTGACCAGCTTGGGCTTTTTGAGGTTGGCCTGACACCTGACATTGGTAGTTATTGAAAGAATGAACAAGGCTTGTCATGGGAGCAAATGCCCGTTTATTGAGGAACAGCTCTGCATATTTATAGAGCCAGGGGTGGTTTGACAGTTGGCATGGGGTGCTTTTTGATTGGAGGGTAAGGATCAGGTGAGCCAGCAGGGGCTAGTCTGATTGGTGGGTAGGATCAGGTGAGCCAGCAGGGCTCTGATTGGTGGGTAAGGATCATGTGAGCCAGCAGGGCTCTGATGGGTGGGTAAGGATCATGTGATCCAGCAGGGCTCTGATTGGTGGGTAAGGATCATGTGAGCCAGCAGGGCTCACCGTTGGACGGCTCTTCTTGGGGGATGGGGAAGTTAGTCTTTGGAGCTGGGGTGACTCCCAACAGTCATCTTTTTTCAGAATGAGATTTGTAAAAGATAGTGAAAACTGCAAGGTGTTTAATGCTGTGCTTAGAAATGGGCTCGTTAACACTTCCTTGGTCTTCTAAGGGGCCCACCAAGATTTAAGGAAAGATAGCATAACTACTAGATGGGAGCAATTTCAAAAAAATTTGGGGCCATATTTAATCCTTGAAAAAGATTCTAGTAGATTTCTCTCAGGAAAGGCTCACAGGGACACCACTGCATTCTTGAACTTTACATACTTGCGTCCTTGCCATCTGGTTTCCTTGTAGATCTAGTGTGTGGGAGATGGTATGCTACCCTAGTTGCATTTTCTGGGATGGATGGATGAATGGATAGATAGATGGGTTTTTTGTTTGTTTGTTTAGGGAGTCTCATTATGTTAACCAGGCTGGTCTCAAACTGCTGAGCTCAAGCAATGCTCCCACCTCAACATCTTGAGTAGCTGGGATTATAGATACACACTACCTTGCCTGGCTCTCTCCATGTTTTTGTGATAGAATCCAGGGATATTCAAGTGCAGTATGACCACTGCCACCATCATCCAGGACTCCTTACCTCTGGGGTTTAATTTGATCTATGTTTTTTTTTGCTTTTTGTTTTGATTCCTGAAGTGATACAAGTAATCACAGTTTGCAAGCCCCTGGGCTCATAGAAACTGAAGGAATGGTCTGCCACTTAGCGTCATGTGCCTTTTGGCCCTGTGACTTCAAGAGCTTTGAACTTTCTGATGTTCTTCATCTGCAAATCAAAATACTCAGTTTGAAGAGATGCACTAGGGAATAGCAGACAAAGAGATTTGGCACATACTAGATGAGTAGGCATGAAAAAATTTAAAATATATCAGTTGTCGGCAGACAGAAAAGAAAAGAAATATTATAGGGATGGTTAGTCAGGTCATTCTTTCTAGAGCAACTGATATTATTTAACAAGAGTTGTATCACTATTCCTTTTCTTTGTCCTAGAATTTCCCCATCTGAGTAGGAATTCCAAGGAAATCACCTATCTCAGCTTCTTCAGCCACTGGGATTGCAAGTCCAAAGATAGACTCGGCAAAGGTGAGGCGCTAAGCGACTCAGTGAGACCCTGCCTCTAAATAAAATACAAAATAGGGCTGGGGTGTGGCTCAGTGGTCGAGTGCCCCTGAGTTCAATCCTTGGTATCCCCTGAATAAGACCTTCTCATTGTATTGGCACCAGGAACAAGGACCAAACTTTCAGTATCATGATGACCAATGATGCTGAGCTTCTTTTCAAGTGCTTTTGCTATTTCTATACATTCTTTGGAGAAATGACTGCTTAAATCATTTGCCTATTTTCTTTTTTGTTTAACATTTTTTATTTTTTAGTTGTCAGTGGACCTTTATTTGTGCCTCACACATACTAGGCAATGCTCTACCACTGAGCCACTGCCCAGCCCCAGGCCTGTTTTCTAATTGAATTGTTTTTCCTTTTTTGTATTTGAGTTATAGAAGATCTTTAAGTCTTCTAAGATACAACTCATTTATAAGATTAGGTATTGAAAATATTTTCTCTCATTCTATTGTTAGTCTTTTCATTTTCTTCAAGGGAGACCCCAGAGAGAGGGAGAAGAAGGGGCCACAGGGAAAATGAACCCATGCCAGGGCACATCCCCAGTGACCCACTTCCTCCAGCCATATCCCACCTGGCTCTAGTTACCCCCTGGTCAGTCCGTTCAAACTAGGATGGACTGGTCAGCTCTCACAATCCAGTCACTTCAACTCTGAGCATTCCTGCATTAACTCAGAAGATTTTTTGGGGGACACCTTATATCCAAACCATAACAGGGATATTTCTATTTTCTTTATTCCTTCTTTATTTATTAATTGGAATTCTTCTGAAAGGGAGAGTTATAACTTCATTATGTTATTTTGTTATATCACCATAGACTCAAGGGCATTTATTTTAATCTCTGGGTTATAAACCAATTCGATCATTGTTTCATTCCTCTAATTGTTCCAAACTCTTTCAGTTTGAGTTCTAGTCTTTAAACATACCTTTTAAAATTTTTTTTTCATTTTTTTAGCACTTCCTTACTTTGGGCACCACACGATGCTCCAAGATCAGTTTGTATTTTACCTGATTCAGATCCAAGGACGCAGGGTGTGGGTACCAGGTGTACTCCTCACTGCTGGAGCATCTCTCCCGTCAGTTGTCAGTGATAAGGAATATATTTGTGTTTACCCCCTGTGTATGTACACATACTCACACACACATACACACACACACACACACACACACACACACACCTGGATGTACAACTGTTTTAAGCACCATAGGGTTCATTCTAGTCTTCCCTCTTTCCTTACTGGTAGCTTCCCTCTATAACAGTGACAAGTCTGGCTCTGACTCTCTACAGTCAATTTGCTCAACTCTGGGACACATCTAAAACAGTTTTGAAATTCCTGACCTATGACCCTGTGAGAAACAAATTTACCAATAGAGTACTGCTTTTATATAGTTCTTTTTGCAAACATTAGCAATTCTTTGTTTTCTGATTTAATTAGGAAATTACATATTCTTTTAACAAAAAAACTTAATGAAGTTATAACTCTCATTCCTTTCACCTTGATTGTGTGATTTATTTGAAATATAGATATGTTTGTTTGTCACCATCTAAATTGTATTTTGCGGGGCTGGGATTGTGGCTCAGTGGTAGAGCTCTCGGCTAGCATGTGTGAGGCCCTGGGTTTGATCCTCAGCACCACATAAAAATAAATAAAATAAAGATACTGTGTCCAACTACAACTAAAAAAATAAATACAAAAATTGTATTTTGTATTGCCCCATAGCCTGGGCAGTATTTTAAAATTTGCATTCATTAAGTTTGCTCTTTGTCATGCACAGTTCTGTGGGTTTTGATAAATGTGTATTGGTCTGCTCAGATGTTATAGTACAATTCCACACACACACACTGGGTAGGTTAAATAACAGAAATTTATTTTGTCACAACCCCAGGGTCCAGAAGTCCAATATCAATATGCCATCAGGGTTGGTTTCTGGTGAGGACCCTCATCCTGGTTTAAGGATAGCCAGTTGCCTTCTCTCAGTTCCCATGTGTTCAATACACATGGAGAGAGCACTTTGGTGATTCTTCCTTTTCTTATAAGAACACTAGTCCTATAGGATTAGGGTCCCCTCCTCATAACCTCATTTAATGTCAATTACCTTATAGATCCTATCTCCAAATACACTCACACTAGAAGTTGGGGCTTCAACATATGAATTGTGGGGGACACATTTCAGTCCATAGCAAAATTATGGAGTCCTCTCCTCACACTGAAGTGCCATGCAGAAAAGTTCCAGCAACCCCAGAATTCCCTCCTGCTGCCCCTTCATAGTCAACCCCTCTTCCTACTCCCAATTCCTGGTACCTACTTATTGTTTTTTTTTAATCTCCATGGTTTTGCCTTTTTGAGTATGCCATCCAGATTTAACATTTTGAATACAATATTTTGTGTCCAACTCCCTTTCACACAAAGGAATGCATCTAAGAGTCTTCTGCCCTGTGTTCTACTTCTGACGTGACCATCTGAATAGCTCTGGGGATCTGCTCCCAAGGGAAACTGGTGAAAATTATTTTGTGAAGAAATTAGTCACTGAACTTTATCCAAAAACATGCAGCAAATGAAGAAATATTTATTCAAGAAAATTCACTAAATACAGCAAGAAAAATGAGAGTTTGTGATATTTGATCCAAAACGTGTCCTCCTCCAGAATAGGACCCAGCCACTGACCTAACCAACTCCATTTTGTCCCTCTCTGATTCCATTTGCCTCTTCAGTGTTTTTTCTCCTGAGCTACTTTCTTCTGCAATTGCACTGGATTCTATAAACCACAGGTCCAATTGGTAAGCATCTTCATGACAAGGAACTGAAACTACACTCAAAGACCAGTAAGACAGAGACCACCGTAGGGGCAAATGCACTCCTGGACCTTAACTCATGGCTCAACAGCCATTAAAAGAGAGTGTAGGGCTGGGGCTGGGCTCAGTGGTAGAGTTCTTGCCTAGCAAAATATAAAAGATAGTGTGAGTTCTCTCTTTGCTCTCCTACATTAACTTGTAGCTTGTTAGTTATTGAAAGCTTGGTATGTGCCTTATCCATTCCCCCAAATCAACCTTATCAGCTTCAGAGCCCTGTACTTCACTGGGGCCAAGATGTTCTTGCCATCATTCCCCAAGGACAAACAACATAAAGGATAAAAACTGTTAAGGAGCCATCAAAAGGACACATTCCCAGGGCCCTTGATTTGCTACTTGCTATGATTTTTGTTCTCTTCCATGGGTGATCTTAACAGCTACAGCAGTTCATTGTTGTCAGAAGGCAGAGATAAATATTTATCCAGGTTGTGGCATCAATATGAAAAATTGACATTTGGCTCCAGGATGACCAGCTGCTCTTGCTTTCCTCAGAGGTAAAGAAAACATACCTTTGAAAGCCAATTAGCATTCCTAAAGCTTAGCCCCCTTGCAAAAAGCCCTTTTACATGAATCAAAGGAACTCTTTCCCTTTATTCTGGGAGCCAGAATGGTCCATGCTGGGTCTCCCTTTAAAAACAGAAGCCCTAATAAAAGCCTTGCCCGTGTGATCATTCACCTGTTTTCATTTCTACAGTCACTAAGTCAATATTCCCATGTCCAGTGTCAACAGTGAGTCTTACAGAACATCCAATGACAAGATTGCCCCCTTTAACAAGGTGCAGTCACCTCCTGTTGGGACTGAGGTTGTTCCTCTAAGCAGGAGCAACCATCTCACAGTGGGAACCAAATTGCCTCCTTATGAAATGATGACCTTCCCAGAGCTCCACAGAACCAGCCCTGACATAATGACCAACAAGACCATGGCTTGACCAGATGTCCTACTCTGCCAGCTTTGCAAACTCCCGATCCATGCAAGCTTGTTTTTTTTTTCTACAAAACTTCAAAGTTTCTGTCAGTCCCTTGAAAAAGGATCTTTGGTCACTGTACCCCTATGTCTGTTCTTCCCAGTATGATGACCACGTTAATTAAAGCTCCTTTCTTACCCTCCTGCACTGGTCATTTCTTTGCTTGGTATATTGAAATAGGTGATTGGGGTTGATCTGTTGGGACCCCTAGAGCCAGGGCTTTTGCCCCAGGACTCAGTAACACTTCCTATTTGCAGCTCAGATAGAGAAATTTGACCTCAGTAACATTAAGATGTGACATATGAGTGCAGCTGCTGAATTTGGCAGGTCGTTTCTGATAGACAATAGAGAGACTCTCTTTATATAAGATAGTGTTTGTTTTAGTAGTCACATGAAAGCAAAAGCAAAAGTGAAAGGTGGGAGAGAAAGAGAAGAAAATACATCATCTTACCGAGAAAACACCAGCACCTGAAAGCCAGGGAGCTGGGGAGTCCCAGGGCAGCTTTCCCAACAGGGAAGTCCCAGGCAGAGCATCCTCTTCATAGGGGAGAGTCCAAAGTCTTATTCCTGGTGGGCTTCCTTAAATACAAGTTAGGACAAAGATCTATTGTAACAGCTGCATGACCTAGATCCCCTCAAGGACACTTTGTCCCCTCAAGGACTGGCCAGATCCCTAGAGAGTGCTATGCTAGTCTTGAGTAAATGATTCTGAGTTCTCATGAGTGAACCAAACCCACCAAGAAGTCAGCATTCTTTAGATGTCCCATCAAGGTTGTGTGAAGGTCACAGCAGACACATAGACAGGGAAGATCTTTAATATTTTCCTAAGCCCTTGAACCCCAGGCTGGCACAACCAAGAACACAGGACTGACTCTCTTTCCCCCCACCTCCCAATCAGAGGGCTGTCTTCTCAGGAAAGCAGAATTCTGAATTTCTCATCTTGTCTTTAACTACCAGTTTCTGGGGCTACGTTGTGGCTGAGTGCAGTAGGTAGGACCTCCTTTCCTCCACCCAGTCCCCACTGGTGAGAGCAAGGCTCTACCTTAGGCACAGCACCACTCAGAGTACTGGGCCTGACTGACCTTGCCTTGGCTCCTGGAGCTGTGCTTCCATGCTGGCAGAGGTGAGGAGAGAGACCCAGGGCTGTGTTCCCCTTCACCCAGCACCAAACTCTTAAAGTGGAAGTGTCACTCAGTCAGAAACACCCATTGTCTCTGCCCCCAGGACAGCTGTGACTCAAGAGATTTTGCCCATGGAAGGGGCAAGCTATAGGAGACAGAGGTCCAAATCTTTCTCCAAAGGCTCTACCTTCATTTGCAATGGAGAGAGTTTCAAATATAATCTCAAAAACAGTGAAGGTTGTGGTGAAAGTCAGTTGGGAAGAGATTGACAGATTTATTGGAGATATAGATAAATTGAAGGACTGCTACATAGCTGGAAGAGACATCTAAGAGGATCACTCCTGGGCAGAAGAAACCTCAAGTGCTTACCATAAGAGTTTTCCCTTTAAATTTACTGGATCAGTGAGTGGAACAATTTATGCCACAGTCCATTGTTGAAAACAACAGAACAATCAGCCAGCAATTGGTTGAGCTCCATTTCTATAACTGCTCAGGGAAAGAGAGCCAGAAAGCAATCTTCTAAAACCACTCCCAAGGCAACTATAAGGAAGTCTCCCACCCCCATCCCAAGAATCAGCATCAATGGCTTCACACTGCAAGGGGGTGATGGGGAATAGACTTCTCTAAAATAATCCATCCTTTCACTAAATAAATAAAAAAAAAATTACCAACAATAGTAAGCTCTGCAAGAGGATAGGTGACCAGTACCTAGGGTTACTACAATATATTACACACAACGTCTACTTTCAAAAAAAAAATTTCCAAGCCATGCAAAGAAGCAGGAAAGAATAATCCAAACACTGAAGACAACTGGGCAACAGAAATTGTCTCAGAGGATCAGATGTCAAATTTCATAGGTCAGAATTTCAAAGGTTTTATAAATATGTTTAGGGCTGCGGCTGTGGCTCAGTGGTAGAGTGCTTGCCTAGCATGTGCGAGGCCCTGGGTTCGATTTTCAGCACTGCATATATAAATAAATTCTTTTAAAAAAGTTCATCAACAACTAAAAAATAAAAATAAATAAATGATTAAAGAACTTAAGAAAGCCATGATTAAAGGTGTAAAGGAAATCATAGAATCAATGATTCATCACATAAAGACCATTAATAAAATGTGAAGTTGAAGTTCTCTCAAGAAGCCACATTTATATTAAAGACCCCACTGCCTGATCGCAGTAGGGTAGAACATTCTGATGGTGGAAACATGGGAGCTGCAGGTCTAGAGTCAAAGTTATCTTAAACTATCTTTAGAAAAAAGTCTACTTACTTTTGTAAACAACTCATAATGTATTGTTAAGCTTAACAGATCTCTACCTTCCACCAACCCTAAAGCTAAGGATGCTATAGCATCTGAAACCTACACATTTTCCCACTTGGCTGTAGCCCACCTAGGTAATACTCACACCAATATATTTGTTGGATGTATTGATTTCTTTCTTTGTTCAGTGCTTTGGAAGTTCATGTGAGATCTAGCGGTGTAGCTCAGTGGTAGAGTACTTGTTTGGCATGTGCAAAGTCCTGGGTTTGATCCCCAGCGCTGTAAAAATAGTTCAGGTAACTTCTTCCACTTTAGAGTACCTTATTAAAATAACTTGAACCTATGTTCCCAGAACTCATCCACTCACATTTGGCTCAGAGTAAACTATTTTTTATTTTCTTAAATTCTAGTTATTGTTTTACATCATATAAAGATAATTTATCAAAGAGAGATAAATCATTAGAAAGAACCAAGTAGAAATTCTGGACTTAAAAAGTATAATAGCTGAGATGAAAAACTCATTAATGCGGTTCAGTAGTACAGTTGAGCTGCCTGCAGTGGCACATGCCTGTAATCCCAGATACTTGGGAGCCTGAAGCAGGAGGATCACGAGTTCAAAGCCAGCCTCAGCAACAGTGAGGCGCTAAGCAACTCAGTGAGACCCTGTCTCTAAATAAAATGTGAAATAGGACTGGGAGTGTGGTTCAGTGGTTTAGTGCGCCTACTCTAATCCCTGGTACCAAAAAAAAAAAAAAAAAAAAAGACAAAGAAATAGTACAGTTGAACTGGTGGAAGAATTAGTGTACTTAACTACAGCTTCACAGCTTGAAAGAATGCAGTCAGTTGCTGAAACATCTTTTCCTTTAAGGAAGAGGAGCAAAGAATGAAGTTCAGGGAGGGAGGAACTTGATGAAATGTAGGGATAAAAATAACAGGATGGTGTAGAATTAAAAATTACGTAGGGTATGTAAAGATAAGTTTCTCCTAAATCATTTTGTTTTTCTTCATACATTTTATTATTAATTCTTTCCCAGATGGTGGTAAAGTCTTTAAGGAAGATTTGTTCTATCCCTTAAAGTGTTACAGGAGTCTTCATATTTTGCTTATTTGGGTTATAGTTGACTTCTGAGAAAATACGAATCTGTAATAGTGTCTTTTCTCTTTAGGAGATTAAGGCTTTGATCAGAGCAAAATTTTAAACCAAAATGTCCAAGTGTCCAGCATCTGTTTTCTTTTCATAAGGTTTACAACATCATTAAAAAGGAAAGTACCAGCAGAGGTTTGGATTGGAGCTGATTGCCTTGGAGAATTTTGCCAGCTGAGCAGTTTTAGAGGCCCTAGGCTCTTGCTTAAATAACAAATACTCTGAGGCGTACCAGGTCAGAGGTAAGTGTCTTCCAAGTCCTGTTTCTGACATAGTGATGTGAAGTACTCAATCAGTGTAGAATCTAAACAACATGTAAACTTCATAAAATGGGCTTCTCAGCTGGACAGAGTGGCACACACTTGTAATCCCAGTGATTCAGGAGGCTGGGGCAGGAGGATTGCAGGTTCAAACCCAGCCTCAGCAACTTAGTGAGGCCCTAAGAAACTCATATAGACCCTGTCTCTAATAAAATATAAAAATGGGCTGGGGATGTGGCTTGGTGGTTAAGCACCCCTGGGTTCAATCCCTGGTACTAAAAAAAAAAAAAAAAAGAAAGAAAACAGGCTTCCCAATTGTGGAGTCTGTTCTCTTCCACTCCTGCCCTCTTGCATAGCTCTTATGTGATTTCTAACCTGTGATACCACTGCTGTTCCTGGAGCAGGTATATTCAGGGTTGCATTTAACAGTCTTCAGGAGTTTCTAGAACAGCAGGCCAGGGTAATAAGGAGTATCATCTAGCCTTGACCGAGAAAAGATTGGTGTCCTTTGAGGGATGCCACAGAAGATGACTGTTGCTATGATCTGTATCAGAAGTGGCTGAGAAGTGAAAGGGAACTTATGGTGCAGGCTGAGTGTCTCATATGAAATGCTTGGGACCCAAAGTGTTATAGATTTCAGAGTTTTTTTTTCAGATTTTGGAATATTGCATAGACTTTACTGGTTAAATATTTGAATTTTTTTTTTTTTTTTTTTTTTTTTTGGAGATGCTGGGTTGGAAGGCAGGTCCTAATGCATTCTAGGCTCTACCAATGAACTATATCCCCCAGTTCCTTTGAAACTTTTTTTTTTTAATGTTCCTTGTGATTTCTTTCAACCATGTTCAAAGTTTTCTGGATGCATAAATTATTAGATTTGTGTTTAAGTACTTCAGTTTTGGAGGTGCTATTGTAAATGGTTTGTATTTTTTCTTATTTTAAATCCTGATTATTCCTGTGTTGCTGATATATGGGACATGAGTTGCCTTTTGTCTATTGGCCATCTACTTTAGTTCTTCTGTCTCCAACTTTCTTTGTCTGTTTTCTGTTTGTATAGCTGAATTGCTAAGACTGAGTATTTGTAAATAGAGCAATTTATTTTTATAGTTTTGGAGTCTAGGAAGTCCAAGGTCTAGGAACTGCCTCTGATGAGTGCCTTCTTTCTAGTGGGGACAGTGCAGAGTCCCAGAGCAGTGCTGGGCATCATACGGTGAGATTATGGAAACTTTTTGGATGTCATGTTGGTACACAAGAAGCTTCAGATTTGGGAGCATTTGGGTTTCATATTTTCAGTTAGAGATGCTCAACCTGTATGGGAAATTTATTGTTATAAATGTTGGATTTACATGTGCAGTGATTACTTTTCTCAACTCTTTTGAACCAGTGTAAGCCATATATGTGTGTGTGTGTGTTCATACATACATATAGACATAGGTATATATACATATAATCTATATCTATATATATAGATAGGATCTTTCTATGTTGCTGGACTCGAGTGATCCTCCTTCCTTAATCTCTCAAGTGCTAGGACTATAGGCAGTGCCACCATGTCTAGCTTAATTTTTGTTTTGGAGGGGTGGTTTGTGGTACTGTAAATTGTACCCAGGGATATTCTACCACTGAGTTACAGCCCAAGCCCTTTATTTTTTATTTTGAGACAGAGACTCACTAAATTTTCCAAATTGGACTGGAACTTGAGGTCCTCCTGCTTCAGCCTCCTAAGTTGTTGGGATTACAGGCATGCATCACCTCGCCTGGCCATCTGTTGTTTGTTTTTTACAGTCATTATCAGACAAA